AGGAGTTGAAATTGGGATTAAAATCTCTGGTGTTTTAATCTCTGAGATTTTAATCTCGGGGGAGTTGAAATTGTGATGAAAATCTCTGAGATTTTAATCTCAGATTTTAATCTCAGAGATTTTAATCTCGGAGGAGCTGAAATTGAGATTTTAGTCGCAGAGGAGTTGAAATTGGGATTAAAATATGTGACATTTTAATCTCGGAGGAGCTGAAATTGGGATTTTAATCTTGGAGGAGCTGGAATTGGGATTTTAATCTCGGAGGAGCTGAATTGGGATTAAAATCTCGGAGATTTTAATCTCGGAGGAGTTGGAATTGGGATTTTCATCTCGGAGGAGCTGAAATTGGGATTTTAATCTTGGAGGAGCTGGAATTGGGATTTTAATCTCGGAGGAGCTGAATTGGGATTAAAATCTCGGAGATTTTAATCTCGGAGGAGTTGGAATTGGGATTTTCATCTCGGAGGAGCTGAAATTGGGATTTTAATCTTGGAGGAGCTGGAATTGGGATTTTAATCTCGGAGGAGCTGAATTGGGATTAAAATCTCGGAGATTTTAATCTCGGAGGAGTTGGAATTGGGATTTTCATCTCGGAGGAGCTGAAATTGGGATTTTAATCTTGGAGGAGCTGGAATTGGGATTTTAATCTCGGAGGAGCTGAATTGGGATTAAAATCTCGGAGATTTTAATCTCGGAGGAGTTGGAATTGGGATTTTCATCTCGGAGGAGCTGAAATTGGGATTAAAATCTCTGAGATTTTAATCTCGGAGGAGTGTTTTAATCTCCGAGATTTTAATCTCGGAGGAGTTGAAATCATGATGAAAATCTCAGAGATTTTAATCTCAGAGGAGTTGAAATTGGGATTTTAATCTCAGAGGATTAAAATTGGGATTAAAATATCTGAGATTTTAATCTCGGAGGAGCTGGGATTAAAATCTTAATCTCAGAGGATTAAAATTGGGATTAAAATATCTGAGATTTTAATCTCGGAGGAGTTGAAATTGGGATTAAAATCTCTGAGATTTTAATCTCGGAGGAGCTGGAATTGGGATTTTAATCTCAGAGGAGTTGAAATTGGAATTAAAATATGTGACATTTTAATCTCGGAGGAGTTGAAATTGGGATTAAAATCTCTGAGATTTTAATCTCGGAGGAGCTGGATGGGATGCAGAGGTGCTTTTCGAGGCGCTTTAGCCCCTTTGTCCCCCCAGCACCCCGCTCGCCCCGGCGCTGCCCTACCCCGTGCTGGCGCTGGTGGGGCCCGAGGCCGGCGGGAGGAGGGAACTCGCCCTCAAAATCTGCCGGAAATTCAAGAATTTCTTCAGCTTCGGGTAAGTTCTGCACCAGGATTTAAAAAAAACCCCAAAGGATTGAGGTGGGGATTGCGGGTTTGGTTTGTGGGGTTTTTTGTTGGGGTTTTTTGGTAAATAAGTTAAAAATAAAGAATTTTGGTGGGTTTTGGTTCTTCTCGAGGCTTGGCTGGCTGAGGGTGTTAATGAAAGGAAAGTTTTTTAATTATCAGATTGTTTTGGAAGGTGGAGAGGAAATAAAATAAAATAAAATAAAATAAAAAAGGAAATTAAAATGACAAAACAAACTAAATAAAAAGGTAAAATATAAATAAAAACTAGAAACCAAAACAGGAAAAAAAAACCAACCAAAGAAGAAAATATAATTAAAAAAACGAAAGAAAAAAATCCCCACAGGCTAAAATAGAAAAAAATCTAAAAAAACTAAAAATCCACAAAAAACCACAAACAAAACCAAAAAAAACCCCACAAACCAAACCAAAAAAGACACCAAAAAATCCAAACAAAAAAACCCAAAACGAGCAAACAAAAAACCCAAGAAGAACCAAAAAAAACCCCACAAAAAACCCTAAAAATCTCCAAAAAATCCCAAATAAATAAAATAAAAATAATAATTAAAAAAACCATAAAAACAACCAAAAAAAGGAAATTACAACCCAAAAAACCCGCTCTGCATCCCATATTCCCTATTTATTTATGGCTCTAATTTATCCATTTATTTTCTATTTTAAGGGAAAAATCTGTTATGGAAAAATCCATTTTTTCCCCTTTATTTAACCCCATATTTTAGAAATTACAAATTCATTTCCATTTGGAATTTTCCAAACATTCTGTGAGGGTATTTTTGGTTGGTTTTTTTAAAATAAACAGCATTTTTACATTGTGTGTTTTATTCCCCACAACCTCCACAAATGAGGGGAAAAAATTAAAAATAAAAAAATAGACAAAACCTTAACAGAGCAGAAAATTGCAACCAGAAAACAAATTTTTAATTGTTCAGGGGGGATTTGAGCGATTTTCTGCCTGGAAATTTCCAATATTCTGCTCATTAAAAATGGATTTTATGCAACAGCCTGAATGCAAACATGGCCCTGCAATTAAAAAGGGCTGAAATGTGTAAAAATTACAGAAAATCAAATTAAAATTGGCCCCTCCAAGCATCTGCTGCTGACCTTTGGGGCTGGGTGGGTTTTTATTATCCCAAAAAAAATCCCCAAAAAAATCCCCCCCAAAAAATTTTAAAAAAAATCCCCAAAAATCCCCCAAAAAATCCCCCAAAAAATCCCAACAAAAATCCCCAAAAAAATCCCCAAAAAAAATTAATCCCAAAAAAAAAATCCCAAAAAAAATCCCCAAAAAAATCCCCCCCAAAAAATTTTAAAAAAAATCCCCAAAAATCCCCCAAAAAATCCCCCAAAAAATCCCAAAAAAAATCCCCAAAAAAATCCCCAAAAAAAATTAATCCCAAAAAAAAAATCCCAAAAAAAATCCCCAAAAAAAATCCCCCAAAAAATCCCAAAAAGAATCCCCCCAAAAAAATCCCAAAAAAAATCCCCAAAAAAATCCCCAAAAAAAATTAATCCCAAAAAAAAAATCCCAAAAAAAATCCCCAAAAATTCAGGGAATTTTCCGGTGTGGAATTGGCTGCTCTTGGGGTTTTTGGGAGGAAAAATTCAACCCTGTGATGATGACATTGAATTTTTAGGGGGTTCCAGCCCAGCCCGCTGGGAAAAATGAGGAGAAAAATCTGATTTTCAAACAGAAAAAAAGTCCATGAATATTTCAGGCTGAAATTGTTATCTGAAATAATATTAATCCCCAAAAAAAATTCCCAAAAAAAATCCCCCAAAAATTCAGGGAATTTTCCAGTGTGGAATTGGCTGCTCTTGGGTTTTTTTGGGGGAAAAAATTCAACCCTGTGATGGTGACACTGAATTTTTAGTGGGTTCCAGCCCAGCCCGCTGGGAAAAACGAGGAGAAAAATCTGATTTTCAAACAGAAAAAAAGTCCATGAATATTTCAGGCTGAAATTGTTATCTGAAATAATTAACTGGGGGTTTTTAGTGGGATTTTTGGGGGTTTTTTAGGGATTTTTGGGGTTTTTTAGTGGGTTTTTAGTGTTATGGAATGGCAGGGAATTCCTTTCCCAGAATTTTTTTCCCACTTTAATGACAAAGCAGAAATGAGGAGAAAAATCTGATTTTCAAACACAAGAAGAGCCTGTGAATATTTCAGGCTCTAATTGTTACCTGCGTTAATTAACTGGGGTTTTTGGGGGGTATTTTTTGGGGTTTTTTAGGGATTTTTGGGGTTTTTTTTAGTGGGTTTTTAGTGTTATGGAATGGCAGGGAATTCCCTTCCCAGCCTCTTTTCCCACTTGAATGGCAAAGCAGAAATGAGGAGGAAAATCTGATTTTCACTAAGAACAAGAGCCCATGAATACTTCAGACTCTAATTGTTACCTGTGTTAATTAACTGGGTTTTTTGGGGGGTATTTTTTGGGGTTTTTTTTAGGGATTTTGGGGGGTTTTTTAGTGTTTTTTAGTGTTTCACTCTGGCAGCTGAGGTTTGTCCTTACAGGATGGAAGGGAATTCCTTTCCCAGCCTTTTTTCCCACTTTAATGACAAAGCAGAAATTAGGAGAAAAATCTGATTTTCAAACAGAACCAGACCCACACAAAACTTCAGGTTTTAATTGTTACCCGCATTAATTATCTGGGTTTTTTGGTGGGATTTTTTTTGGTGTTTTTTAGGGATTTTTGGGCGTTTTTTTAGTGGGTTTTGAGTGTTCCATCCTGGTATCTGAGGTTTATCCTCATGGGATGACAGGGAACTCCTTTCCCTGCCATTTTTCCCACTTTAATGGCAATGAGGAGAAAAATCTGATTTTCAAACAGAACAAGAGCCCATGAATACTTCAGGCTCTAATTGTTACCTGCATAAATTATCTGGGGTTTTTTGGTGGATTTTTTGTGGTGTTTTTTAGGGATTTTTGGGGTTTTTTTAGTGGGTTTTTAGTGTTCCATCCTGGTGGTTGATGTTTATCCTTATGGGATGACAGGGAATTCCTTTCCCTGCCATTTTTCCCACTTTAATGGCAATGAGGAGAAAAATCCGATTTTCAAACACAACAAGAGCCCATGAATACTTCAGGCTCTAATTGTTACCTGCATAAATTATCTGGGGTTTTTTGGGGTTTGGTTTTTTTTTTTTTTGGTGGCTTTTTGGTGTTTTCTCCTGGTGGGAAGCTCAGCTAGCTGAGTTTATCCTCACAGGATGGCAGCGAAATGAATTCCCTTCCATCCCTTTTATTCCCACTTTAAAGATTAATTATCTGGGTTTTTTGGGGGTTTTTTTTGTTGGGTTTTTTGTTTTTTTGGTGGCTTTTTGGTGTTTTATCCTGGTGGGAAGCTCAGCTAGCTGAGTTTATCCTCACAGGATGGCAGCGAAAGGAATTCCCTTCCATCCCTTTTATTCCCACTTTAAAGACAAAGCAGAAAAAAGACAAAAAATCTGATTTCTAAACAGAAAAAAGAAAAAAATCTGATTTTTATTTTCTCCTGGTGGGAAGCTCAGCTAGCTGAGTTTATCCTCACAGGATGGCAGCGAAAGGAATTCCCTTCCATCCCTTTTATTCCCACTTTAAAGACAAAGCAGAAAAAAGACAAAAAATCTGATTTCTAAACAGAAAAAAGAAAAAAATCTGATTTTTAAACAGAAAAAAGACAAAAAATCTGATTTTTAAACAGAAAAAAGACAAAAAATCTGATTTTTAAGCAGACCCAGCCGAACAGAACACTTCAGTATTAAGTTGCTGCCTGCATTCATTAGCTGGGTTTGGGGTTTTTGGGCGGGATTTTGGGGGGATTTTAGTTTTTTATCCCGGTGTGATTCTGAGGTAGCTGAGTTTTTACTTTCCCTCCCTTTTATCCCAATTTTCAGGGTTGTCTCTCCCCTCCCCATTAGGCATCTGTTTAAAAATCGGAATTTTTTGAGCTCTTTCTTCACCTCCCAGTTCAGCCCAGCTCCTTTTCCCACATTTAGCATTTTAGAATTCCCACATTTAGGACTTTATATCATCCCCAAGCTGACAGAATTGGGGGAAAAAAAATAAAAATGGGTTCTGTGACAGCTTCAGCTCCGGCCGTCCTGGGATTTACAGCCAAAACACCACCTTATATTTCACTTTTTTTGCTGTATTTATGGGTTCATCTTTCAAAAATGCAGCGTTTAGGGCTGTGATTTGCACCTCTTTCTATTCCTCCTATTTCTTTTGCTGCTTAAAAATAAAATTATTTCTGTTTATCCCTGCTTTGCACCCCCTGCTATTGAATCCAGGTTATTTCTTTTTTATTTTTTATTTTCCCACCGCTCTCCCAGGCCCTGCCACACCACCAGGGAAGCTTATTTTGGGGAAGAAAACGGATTCGATTATTATTTCATTTCTCAAGAAGAATTTGACAAAATGGTGAAAGCGGTAAGTACCCGACTCCCGTCCTTGTGGCTTCTTCCTGCTCTGTCCAAACCTGATTTATTTTATTTTTTTATATTCATTTCATGCCTGGGTGTGGATGTTTATTCACTCTCAGTTCTGTTTTGAAGCTCACAGACAGAAACCACAAATTTCTTGTAGATTTGTGCTTTTCTCCCATGAATTAAATTATAGAAACCACTAGATGGGCAAAATGGGGGATTTTATTAAATAATAAATAATAATATTTAAATAATTTAAATAATAATATAACATAGAAATAAATTTATTTTCAGGCGCAAACACAGCATGAGGTTTATTGGGTTTATTTTATTTATTTATTTTATTTTATTTTTTATTTTATTTTATTTTTCAACGTTTTCCAGCAGCCCTGCAGGGAATTCCTTGGAGGTTGAGCAAATCCCCCTTAAAGGAGTGAGGTTTCTCTGAAGGATTCCTGCCTCCAGCTGCTCTTTTTTGATGCCTTTTGCAACAAAACTTTGCCTTGAAAAGCCATTATTTGTATTTATCCCAAAGGGTGAAGCCAGCAGAGCCTGGAAGAGCTGAGCTGGCCCTTCATGAAAACAATAATCAAGAAATTTAATTAAAAAAAAAAAAACACAAAAAACCCCAAAAAACAAACAAAAAAACCCAAAAAAAACCCAAAACAAAAACATAAAATAATCTGCTTCCACCAGAAGGCCAGGAATGCTGTCTGCACTTTGTTCCCAAAATTCCAAATGTCAGGATTTTGGAATTTGATTATCCATGGACAGGGCACACGGCCAGATATGGGAGCTCTCATTAACGCTGATTTTGGGATTTTAGTGCCCTCGTTAATGCTGATTTTGGGCTCTCTCATTAACCTCTCAGTGCCCTCATTAATGCTGGTTTTTTGGCTCCCAGTGCCCTCATTAATGCTGATTTTGGGCTCTCAGTGTCTTCATTAATGCTGATTTTGGGCTCACTCATTAATGATGATTCTGGGCTCTCATTGCCCTCATTAACACTGATTTTGGGCTCTCTCATTAATGCTGATTTTGGGCTCTCTCATTAACCTCTCAGTGCCCTCATTAAGGCTGATTTTGGGCTCTCAGTGTCTTCATTAATGCTGATTTTGGGCTCTCTCCTTAACCTCTCAGTGCCCTCATTAACGCTGATTTTGGGCTCTTTCATTAATGCTGTTTTGGGCTCTCTCATTAATCCTCATTTTGGGCCCTCTGTGCTCTCATTAATGCAGATTTTGGGTTCTCATTAATGCTGATTTTGGGTTTTCAGTGCCTTCATTAATGCTGATTTTTGGGCTTTCAGTGCCCTCATTAATGCTGATATTGGGCTCTCATTGCTGCTGATTTTGGGCTCTCATTAAGCTGATATTGGGCCCTCAGTGCCCTCATTAACGCTGATTTCGGGCCCTCAGTGCTTTCATTAATGCTGATATTGGGCTCTCATTAATGCTGATTTTGGGCTCTCTCATTAACCTCTCCGTGCCCTCATTAATGCTGATTTTTGGGCTCTCATTGCCCTCATTAGCGCTGATTTTGGGCTCTCATTAACACTGATTTTGGGCTCTCTCATTAATCCTGGTTTTGATCCCTCAGTGCCCTCATTAACACCGATTTAAACGAACGAACTCCGCAGGGGGAGCAGTCAGTGAACTCCAGCATTTCCCTCATTCGAGGAAATTTCTCCCCTTGGAATTTTCCCCTTGGCGTTTTCCTCATTCTGAATTTCAGGGGGAATTTCTGAATTTCAGGGGGAATTTCTGAATTTCAGGGGGAATTTCTGGCACTGCTACGGGCTGGCACGAGCCACGGTGGAGTCCATCGCCCGCGCCGGGCTGGGCACCTGCGTGCACCTGGAGATGGAGGTGAGGGGCTCCTGGGAAATCGAAATATGAATTCCCTCCTGGGAAATCCAAATATGAATTCCCTCCTGGGAAATCGAAATATGAATTCCCTCCTGGGAAATCCAAATATGAATTCCCTCCTGGGAAATCGAAATATGAATTCCCTTCTGGAAAATCCAAATATGAATCAGGGGGAATTTCTGAATTTCAGGGGGAATTTCTGGCCACCTACAGATACAGCGGGCACTGCTACGGGCTGGCACGAGCCACGGTGGAGTCCATCGCCCGCGCCGGGCTGGGCACCTGCGTGCACCTGGAGATGGAGGTGAGGGGCTCCTGGGAAATCGAAATATGAATTCCCTCCTGGGAAATCCAAATATGAATTCCCTTCTGGGAAATTAAAATATAAATTCTCTCCTGGAAAATCAAATCAAAATATAAATTGCCTCCTGGAAAATTGAAATATAAATTCCCTCCTGGAAAATCAAAATGTAAATTGCCTCCTGGAAAATCCAAATATGAATTCCCTTCTGGAAAATCCAAATATGAATTCCCTTCTGGAAAATCAAAATATAAATTCCCTCCTGGAAAATCAAATCAAAATATAAATTTTTAGAATTAGGAATCTTCTTGCCAGGGTCGGGATTAAATGTGTGAGATGGAATTTCTTGTTGGACTCAGGTGTTTATGGGTTCTTATCCATGTCACAGTCTCACAAACCCTGAGTTCTACAGAACTTTGACAAACTAAAAACGGAGCCCCAGCTCTCTCTACAAGACTTTGTAAGGATCAACTGTCCAATTGAGAAATGACACCTAAATTATTTTCACTTTTAACCCAACAACCAACCACCCATGCCCTGAAATGTGGGAATTCTTTATCCAATGACACAAAAGCACCAAACCCGTGGAGGAGAAGGTGGAGGAGAAGGAGCAGCCACTGCCCCCCAAACTGCACAGCCACAATCCCAGCTCTGCCATTCCATTCTGGAAGCTTCTCCAGGGCCTCAGCTCAGTGCAGAGTTCTGCTGGGGCTCAGAGAAATTCTGGAATTCTCAGAATCCAGGGTTCCAACAGCAGGTGGGAAAATCCTGTCTGAAAAGAATCCTTTCTGTAATTCATTCCTTTTGTCGAGGTGGTTTTTGGTGCTCACCACATTAAATTACATTAATTACACCACATTAAATTACAGCACCATGGTGTAAAATATTGTGAATTTGTAAATGTGGCACGCAATTTAAATACGGCCCTAAAGAAATAAACCAATGGGAAAATATTTAGGTGAGTGCAGAGAATTTCAGCTTTTTTTTTTTCAATGTGCTGCTCATGAAGATTTTTCTCCCCAAGAGACATTAAAAATGTATTTCTGTGACAAAGAATGTATTTTCTGGCTAAGTTTAAAATGTATTTCTGTGTCAAATTCGTGTGATTTGTGTCCTTGCACTGATGAAAAGCTGGGTTTTATTCAGTTTATTTTCTCTCTGCCATGAAATGCGTTTCGCCCTGTGCAGACGAGCTGGAGGAGGCATTCACGGAGCTGACTCGCCTCGTCAGGGTCTACCTGGGCATGGAGCCACCGGACGTCCGGGACAACATTCAGGGCTCCTGGAGCTGGGCAGGTAAAATTCCAGTTTATTGGTAATCGATTTATTGGGATCTGCCAGAGCTGGAACCTCCACGAGCTGCTCTGCAATGGCTCCCCCGGGCTGCTTCCTCCGTGGTGTTATCAGCAGAATATTCCCGTTTATTGGTAATTGATTTATTGGGATCTGCGAGAGCTGGAACCTCCACGAGCTGCTCTGCAATGGCTCCCCCGGGCTGCTTCCTCCAGGAGGATGGGGTTGGGCTCTGGATGTTCTCCTGACCCTTTTTTGGGTCCAGATGGAGTTTCCTGACTCCTCTGAGGATGGTTTTGGGCTCTGGGTGGTCTCCTGACCCTTTTTTGGGTCCAGATGGAGTTTCCTGACTCCTCTGAGGATGATTTTGGGATCTGGATGGTCTCCTGACTCTTTTGGGGCTCTGGACGGAGTTTCCTGACTCTCCTCTGGTGGTTTTGGATTCTAGATGGAGTTTCCTGACTCTCTGGGGGCTCTGGAGTTTCCTGACTCCTCTGAGTCAGGATGGTCTGAGTCTGATGGTCTCCTGACCCTTTTTTGGGATGGTCTCCTGACCCTTTTTTGGGGCTCTGGACGGAGTTTCCTGACTGTCCTCTGATGGTTTTGGGTTCTAGATGGAGTTTCCTGACTCTTTGGGGGCTCTGGAGTTTCCTGACTCCTCTGAGGATATGTACTAAATAAATTAAATCATGTAAATTCCGAAATTAACACAGCAAAAACAAACCAAAATCAAATTCCTAAATTTATTAAACTTATTAAATAATGGAAATTCTGAAATTAACACAGCCAAAACAAACCAAAAACCAATTCGTAAATTGATTAAATAAATTAAATAATGTAAATTCCTAAATTAACACAGTAAAAACAAACCAAAACCAAATTCCTGAATTTATTAAATCATGTAAATTCCGAAATTAACACAAAAAGAATTTTGGCAATTCTGCTGCTCGTGAAGCAACTTTTAAATTTACTCCGCGCCATTAAATTCACTCAGAGCCCGTTTATGGGTGGTTAAATAAGTTTAATTCCTCTGTTTCTGGAGATCTTCTCGTGGACTGCAGGAAATAATTTAATTTATAAATCATTTTATTAATAATTTAAAGATAACCTTCCCAGGGTTGTCTCTAAAAGGGAGATTTTTAGGGAGCAGGAGGAAGATTGCTTGTGGGACATTATGAGATGTTTACAATTTATTTTTTTTTAATGAACTGCTGGGCAAGATCTTTTGCTGGTGTACAGAGAAAAAAAAATTCCAGGGAGAAAATAGATCAGTTCTTTTAAAAAAAATTTAATAACAGAAGAATTTTTGGAGCTGATAATGTTTTGTGCTTCCATTGGCAGCTTTTATCTGTGGGATGCAGAGACTGGAAACTTAAAATCCTGGAATGGTTTGGGTAGGGAGGGAATTTAAAGGTTTTTTTTTTTAAAATAATTTGAATTATTCAAAATCATTTTGGTTTTAAAAACTGGGTTGTGTGGAGGGACCTTAAAGCCCAGGCAGTGCCATGGGCAGGGACCCCTTCCACGAATAAAAATATTTATTTAATACCCACAGGTTTCTCCAGACCTGTGAATATTAAATAAATTAATTTTTTTTTTAATGAGAGGTATTTACAGAAGTGATATAAAGCTTCCAATCACTGAAAAGCTGTGTACACTTCTGTGAAAAAACATGTTAAAGATGAAAAAAAATCAAAACCAGTCAACTGAAATTTTAAGTTTTGTTTCTTTACACTGTGATTAAGAAGGAAAAGGTTGTAGGGGGAGGAAAAGCTTCCTAAAAGTTTTGGTTATTATTATTCTTAATATTATTATTATTATTATTATTATTATTATTATTATTATTATTATTATTATTATTATTATTATTATTATTATTATTATTATTATTATTATTATTATTATTATTATTATTATTATTATTATTATTATTATTATTATTATTATTATTATTATTATTATGGCAATTCCGAAATTAACACAGCAAAAACAAAGTCCTAAATTTATTAAATCATGTAAATTCCTAAATTAACACAGCAAAACCAAACCAAAAACAAATTCCTGAATGTATTAAATCATGTAAATTCCTAAATTAACACAGCAAAACCAAACCAAAAACAAATTCCTGAATGTATTAAATCATGTAAATTCCTAAATTAACACAGCAAAAACAAATACCTAAATGTACTAAATAAATTAAATCATGTAAATTCCGAAATTAACACAGCAAAAACAAACCAAAATCAAATTCCTAAATTTATTAAACTTATTAAATAATGGAAATTCTGAAATTAACACAGCCAAAACAAACCAAAAACCAATTCGTAAATTGATTAAATAAATTAAATAATGTAAATTCCTAAATTAACACAGTAAAAACAAACCAAAACCAAATTCCTGAATTTATTAAATCATGTAAATTCCGAAATTAACACAAAAAGAATTTTGGCAATTCTGCTGCTCGTGAAGCAACTTTTAAATTTACTCCGCGCCATTAAATTCACTCAGAGCCCGTTTATGGGTGGTTAAATAAGTTTAATTCCTCTGTTTCTGGAGATCTTCTCGTGGACTGCAGGAAATAATTTAATTTATAAATCATTTTATTAATAATTTAAAGATAACCTTCCCAGGGTTGTCTTTAAAAGGGAGATTTTTAGGGAGCAGGAGGAAGATTGCTTGTGGGACATTATGAGAGGTTTATAATTTATTTTTTTTTTTTAATGAACTGCTGGGCAAGATCTTTTGCTGGTGTACAGAGAAAAAAAAATTCCAGGGAGAAAATAGATCAGTTCTTTTAAAAAAAAATTTAATAACAGAAGAATTTTTGGAGCTGATAATGTTTTGTGCTTCCATTGGCAGCTTTTATCTGTGGGATGCAGAGACTGGAAACTTAAAATCCTGGAATGGTTTGGGTAGGGAGGGAATTTAAAGGTTTTTTTTTTTAAAATAATTTGAATTATTCAAAATCATTTTGGTTTTAAAAACTGGGTTGTGTGGAGGGACCTTAAAGCCCAGGCAGTGCCATGGGCAGGGACCCCTTCCACGAATAAAAATATTTATTTAATATCCACAGGTTTCTCCAGACCTGTGAATATTAAATAAATTAATTTTATTTTTTTAATGGGAGGTATTTACAGAAGTGATATAAAGCTTCCAATCACTGAAAAGCTGTGTACACTTCTGTGAAAAAACATGTTAAAGATGAAAAAAAATCAAAACCAGTCAACTGAAATTTTAAGTTTTGTTTCTTTACACTGTGATTAAGAAGGAAAAGGTTGTAGGGGGAGGAAAAGCTTCCTAAAAGTTTTGGTTATTATTATTCTTAATATTATTATTATTATTATTATTATTATTATTATTATTATTATTATTATTAATTTTTTTCCTTTTAGTCACTGCAAATAAATTTCTTTTTTTACCCTTTGGAACTTTTCAGCTTTCCCAGCAGGGAACGGGCGAGTGCACTGGATTAGCCAGCACTGAGCCCACCACACTAATTAGCGCTAATTAACGGGGAAATCTCAAATTAGCCAACCAAAGCTGTTGTGTACGAGACAGGGCCAATACAAACAGCTGCATTTTAGAAGGCTCCAAACAGTTTTTATTTTATCCTGGGTGGTTTTTGTGCGTTCTTACCAAACTCAGAAGTTTACATTTGGTCACGAGAGACAAACAAGGTGCTCATTGGAACAGGCAGCTGCAGCTCCTCTGATTTATCCTTCTTTCTGTCTTGGTTTCTG